CGAGCTGCTAATCGAAGGTTAACCCTTTGATGCATGAATTATGAAATCTTCAGCCATGATTTTTTTAACAATTTTTTTCATTCATCTTTAGGTGTGAATGAAACAAATTTCAACAAATATTTTTTGTAAAATTTTATAATTTACAAATAATTTATTACAGGTCCACCTTAGTGGACCACGTGCATTCTGAACATGAAATATGTTGGCTTGACTTACTGAAGTCCAAATGGAGGGGCTCAAATACAATAAAGTCTTCAACAGCTGTGCTTAATAGCAAAAACAAATAAATAACAATTTTGAGTACCTGTCCACTGTAGTGACCATTATGCACCAAAGGGTTAAGAAAACTAAACACAAGTTTATGTTAGAGAATTTAAATAAATAATGTTTGTTTTTGGTTTAATGTTCAAATGTGTATTTCAGTTTTCGTTCTTCTTGAGATGCAAACACATTGTGTTCTCATCGTGGACAAAAACTAGCTCAATAAAGACTTTTCTCTAAGATTAGAAACAAATAAAACAACTTTTCACAAATTCACAACACAGATTCATAGGTGCTGTTGTTTTATATATATTTACATTTTTTAAACCTTTAATTAACTAAAATCTTCTAAAAGATGAGTCTTCATAAAAGTGCATTCATGCAACAGGTGTGTTACACACAGCCAGCTGTTCCTAAAGGGACCTTTAAGATGGGTGTGTGTTCAAGGACTTGAATAGTGAAAGACAGGAGGGTGGAGATGACGAGAGACAGAGCAGCGGAGACAAAACAGAGAGAAAGAGAGAGAGAGAGAGAGAGAGAGAGAGAGAGAGAGAGAGAGAGAGAGAGAGAGAGAGAGAGAGAGAGAGAGGGGCAGCGAGGGCGAGACAGAAATAGGTTTACATAAACTCTGACCTCATGTTAAGAACGAAAACATCAATCAATAAGTATGACAAATCAATTTCCCCCTCTCTTTCTCTCCTCTCCCCAGGATACGGAAGAAAAGAATTACGTTTAATGAGATTCAAGTAATCTGATTACAGCTCGGTGGCATCTGTGATGCATTAGAGGCCATCAAAACTCTGATTTCCTTTTTTACTTCACATCTCCAGGAGGATTTTCACAAGTTTCGCTTAGAAGAATTCATCCCACCACTTGTTGATGATTTTATTATGAAAATCAGAATTTATGGAGTTTCATTACAAATTTATGTGTTTATCATGATGACAGATTGCACAGGAAACTGTTCACCCGGTGGGCTTCGGCAAGTTACAGGTACCCTGTAATGGCTTTGACTTTGAAATTAACTTCCACTGACCTGCTTCCTCTCCTCTGCCAGACAGACACTCCAACATTTTTCATGTGCGCCCGCTCTGCAGTGTGCAAATGAAATTACAGCACGTTATACTTCTTAATTAAAAGAGATAACCCCAAGGCTGCTGCATACGTCGCCGCCTTTACATGCATGCACAAACACCTCCTCTAACGGAGCGGAGTCCAGAGTGTGTGCTGTGATTCTCACCGACGTGGACGGTTAGCAAACGGCAGGACGGTGGCTGTAAAATCACAGCTGGAAAAACTGTAATTAATGACCTTACAGCCACAGCGACACCAGGGACTTCGCACGGTTCTATATTAATGACACAATCAGCTGATCACTGTACATGAGATGTTATCAGCAGCTCATCTCACCTCCTCACCTCTCAGATGCATGTGTGTGAGGCACTGAGCATGTGCAACCTTCTGCTGCAATTGATTGTGCTGAAGCTGTCGATCGATTAGTCTGGTCTGTGAGTACAGAGATAAAGGTGTTTCTGTCTCAGGACTCCTGATTGGCAGCTCAGAGTCCGTGAACAAAAAGGAAAGAAGGTGAACTTTAGCGTTTTGCTCCAAATGAGGCAGTTTCCTTGGCCAGGTTTAAGTTCTGGGATGTGTGAAATGAGGACTGTTTGAGCTTCTCCATACATGTCCATTAGAACCTAAAGACCACAAGTAGTAAATATTTTTCACCGGTCTTTCTGATTTAAACCACTTTAGACAGAAATGACTGATGTTATATTCTATTTAGAGTGAATAAGCTCTGATTCCGGTTTTGAAAGCCAATACTGGTGTGCAGCTATCCTGCTGATTTAAAAAATAAATGTTTTTATTTGTGGAAAGGGCTCTCTTGGTTTCCAGGGCTGCTGAAGTTCTGCTTAGTTTGCCTACTTTGACTCCTAACACTCTTTATCTTTGGTTTTTAGACGGGATTAACCGATTTGTAAACCTGGACCGATACCTGATATTAAAACTGTTGCCGACCACCTATGTTCTACGTATTTCCCTACTCTTGTAAAAGCGACCACACTAACTATATTGCATCCTTGCTTCATTTTAATAACTATCCTGTGTTGCATCAATATCACGGTCACATGACCAACCCCCTCCCCTCCCCCACCTGAAACACTAATGGAAACAATATGGAATTAAACACCAGCGGTCATCAACAGCCCAGTTTTATTTATTGGACCAAAGCAATGAGCTAAGAATGACTAACACTGGCCAGTGTTAATGACCATATATGGTGCGTCCCAAGTATTTGTCATTTTCAAACAAATCCTTCCACGTTGTTTTTCACTTGTTTGCATAAGTCGCTGCAGCTGTTTTAATGTGAATGTTTTCTTTGTCTGCTACGAAAACTCTAGTGTCTCTTTCCTGTTACGCAGCCTGTGTGCCAGGCTGTAACACGCAGGAACGCAACGTTCTCCAAGTATGTAATCCTTGTCCTTGAGAGCCCCATTCTGAAGGTTTTAAGAGTTTCTCTGCTCCAACACGCCTGAACTGAATGGATCTGCTTCTGCAGAACTTAGAGACATGTCAAAAATGGTTTTCATCCAATGATTTGGGGGTGTTGGAGGAGGAAAACAACTAAAAACTGCAGGATTGTTGTTCTACATGACCAGAATTGTACATAATGAGCCAATCAAACTGTTCGGTATCAACTTTTTTACGAAATCCGATACATCAACATAGTTTAACTGATCGTTTTTGATATCAATGTAAATCAATATCGATTTAAAAAAAACGAACTAATTTTAAATAGCCAACATCACATAAGGTATCTCCTATTTACGCACAATTAAACCTTTAACGTTATCTGTGCAAGATTTGACAACTACTTCGATTTCAGATAGGCCATTTGTGTCAAACAAACAAAAGAATCTCTAATACAAAACTGCGGATCTGTCATATTTTGACATTTTGAGTGAGAGGAGAAGTAGCTGAAGAGTTTGATGAATAACATGTACATGACATGTAAACGCTGTGTTGATAAAGGAGTAAAAACCGATTCCGATCATTTCCTTCGTTACATTTTGATGCAAACATCAGCCGATGATAACTGTAGGCTGATAAAATCAGACTTTACCAGATGCAGCTTGTGCAGGGCGGCTGCAGGACCCGTGAGCATTGTTGTAAAACCTACACACGGTACTGAAAGTATATTGGAGTTTTTAAACCAAACGGTGCAGTAAGGGAATTTAAATCAGCGGTTAAATGCAGCTGTCTGACGCCAGACTTTATGTAGCCTGTAAGTGCCGGTTTGTTGCAGAAGGCAGTTGTGGTTCTGCCGTTGAAGGTGTGTGTCACTGAAGAATCAGCCCACATTCATCCTCATTCCTCTGCGTTTGGTTGAACGGGCAAAAAACTGATTTCACCAACAAATTCTTGCATAAGAGAGCCGACGGAGCTGCAGCAGTGCATCCACTCACATCTAATCTGAGCATCAAACCACTGAATCTGAATTAGATGACTTTAGATTTGAATCTGCGTTCTATAAATAAATGTATTTCTCCTTTGCAGCTACGAGGACTGATAGAGGCCGAGTGCACCAGAAACCGACAAATATGGAACACAAAGGGACCCAGCAGACTATGAGGGATCTGATATTCTCTTTGTTTATTTCTACGTCCTTCCCAGCTTCCTCCTCCTCCTCTTCCTCCTCTTCCTCCTCTTCCCCCTGACTATCGTTTTTAGGGTTTTTCCCCCCCGAAAAAAAGGAAACCAAAAGAGATTCTGCACACCTGATTGCATAAAGCTTGCAGGTGCGTGGGCAGGGAGCAGTGGGAATCAAACAGGGTCTCTCTCTTTGTCTATCCCGCTCAGTCTCCCACTCCTGAGGTGTTTTTACAGCGCCTGTTTGTATTGGAAACTTGTGGGCGGTGTGTGTGTGTGTGTGTGTGTGTGTGTGTGTGTGTGTGTGTGTGTGTGTGTGTGTGTGTGTGTGTGTGTGTGTGTGTGTGTGTGTGTGTGTGTGTGTGTGTGTGTGTGTGTGTGTGTGTGTGTGTGTGTGTGTGTGTGTGTGTGTGTGTGTGTGTGTGTGTGTTGAGTTGTATGGTTCATTTGCGAGTGCTAAATGCTCTTGGCTCTCGTCCTGTGTTTAAGAAAAACAACCCCCAGGTTTTGGGTTGGCGCGACCTTTCCTTGCAGATGGTTCCGTCCGATACACCGCCGGAGCCCGGCTGGTCTCGATGACCTCATCGGGTTTTCGAACAGCACAACTCCAAACAAACCTTTTCAGTAAACCAAAACAAGCCGTGCCTTGCCATTTGCGGTCACCGCAAAGCTGACGGTGACGATAAACAGACCCGAGGCGTTCACCGCAGCTGTGCAGGACAAAGACCTGACAAAGGCGATGCCAGATCCCACACAAGTGGCTAATTTAGAGCCATTTTGGGAAAGAGAAGGTCCTGAAATCTCCAGATTTCCACTTGGTCATCTGGTGGTTTTCTTGTGGTGTGTCCCGTATTTGTGTGCAGACCAGATTACAACTCGAAGCTAACTACCATAAACACACCCGCCCAATCAGTGTCTCCATTGCTGGAATAAACAAACACACTTAGGCACAATCAGAAATCAACCAAGCAATCATAACACCACCCCACCCCCACCCCCCGTCTCAATCTGCACCCTGCAATAAGGCTCAGCGACCCACCCACAACCACTCCAGACTCCCTCCCCTCCCCTCGAGTTCCCCCACTCACCGATGATGTAGTAGTCGTGCATGCTCTTGAACTCGTGTCCCCAGAGGTTCGGGGAGAACTCCTGGAACTTGATGGTGAAGCGGCGCTCACGCATGGGCTCGTCGCACGTGAGCACGATGTTGGGTGCCCCCTTCACCTCGCAGCGGTCAGCTTGCTCCCGTGAAGACACCAGGTAGAGCTTGTAGAACTCGTACTCTGGTGTGGACCTGGCAGTGTCCAGCGGGGGACAGATGAGGTCCAGCCGGTCCCCGATCTGAGGGTAAAGAACGTAGCCCTTGTCGTCCCTAAACCTGGAGGAAGAACATAAAACAGAAATCAGTCATGGGAGTCGGGGAGGCTGGGTTTGTTAATTAAAGTCTTTATGAGCCAGTTCAGAGCCACCTGTCCTGACTCCTGCTGGAGCAACAGATGGGTCCTTTAGCTCTCTCACTGCTCACACTTCCTTATTTGTTTTCCTCATGGAGAACAGGTGTCTATACCATGGAAGAGCTGCTCAGTCAGCAGCACAGATATGATAATGTGCATAGAGAGATAAACACTGGGAGGCAATAAAAGTATTCTGTTTTGTCCTGATCATGGAAAATGTAAAAATTGACAAAAGGACAAAACAGAAAGCTTTTTGGTCCGTAACGACTTCTCTGAATCTGGGGAGGTTTGAGTTTTGAATGCTGGAAAACTGGAAACACAAAATCACATTGAAGTAGAACGAGCAAAACTTTTGTAATTTAGTCCCAAAAAGTTTAAATTACGTCTCAAATTGTTTGCTATGAAGTCTCCAACTAGGGCTGGGCGATATGGCCTAAAGTCATTAACACGGTATATCGAGGAGTTCACCTCGATAACGGTTAATGAACGATAACTACATGCATGGGCAGAAACAAAAGCTGTCCACTAGATGGGGCTGTCAGAGATATTACGTTGAGTCGTGTTGCCACATGACTCCAGGTGGTACTGCTTCTTAAAGGGACATGAACGTCGTCAACCTCCACTCGTTTTTTTCTTTTTCGATATTATCAAATTTATTGACGTGGGATTTTATTTTTCGGTTGGTGTCAGAAATTTCAAAAACAATAAATTTTCGATTTATGTCCCAGCCCTATCTCCAACCCTTGCCAATTTTTTTCAACCATGTTCAGGGGGCATTCGTCCCTCTTATTTTGGGAGCATAATTAAGGATCGGTCCATAAGCATGGCCTTTAGGTAGGGAATACCCTGTGGAATGCTTAGGACATCTCAGAAACAGTTTTCCTGCAACAGCCCAGTGGGAAACTGGTTTAAGTGGGAGCAGACAAGAATGCTGGACAAGAGACAGCATTATTAGCATTCTTTTCCTTTCTTCTGGACACTAAAATCATTTTTGGTCAGTTTGACAATTAAAACAAAAAAACTCAAGATCGTGACTTGTTTCAAAAACTAGATAATAGTTTTACTTGAGCACATCTGCTAATCGTATGTTTGCTTTAACATTATTCAGCTCTATTACTATGTGAGAACATTCCCCATTCTGAGCAAATAGATTTCTAATAAAGACTTCTGCTGCATACGTAGGTGTGAATATCTGCCCAGAATAACTGTTGAGATCAAAACAGCAGTTCAAAGCACTTACAGCTTTTTCTAACTTTCATTCTTTGCAAAGAACATCTTCTCTCTGAGCTGATTTACTTTTTGTTTATTTATTTATTTATTTTTGCAGTGTTTATATTTAGAAGGGAGAGCTGAGGCATGTCCATAGAGGAAGAAAAACAGGCAGACAACTACCTCAGCAGAACAAAGAACCAGGCTGTCAATGCCCAATCTCAGGTATGTACAGTTAATTAGTTTGGAAATGAGCCGTCCTCAGTGCACGTCGTGCACTTCTGGATGGAGCATGAAGTGTTTGTTTGTTTGGCGATTGACTCCGATTATCTACAGACTTAAATTTAGGCTTGACTGGAACATTAATAACAGTTTTATTTTTTTATTTTTGTCCTTAAAACTCACTTTTGAGGGTTTTTTTTATAAAGATTTAAACAAAAACATGCTAGATTTGTGACTCACATTGCCTGTGCAGCTTTTTTTTATTTTCTAGAGCTGAAAACACATAAAACACAATCATAAAAAGGGCAAAAACTGAACAAATGACTCAGACTGTGTCATCTAGCTGACAACACAAGGGCACCTCTTACTGAGATGGTCAAATGTAGAGTTATGAACTGAGCTCTGTGAATATTCTGATTTTACTAAATCTACTAAGTCCAAACACATGTTGTGACTTGATCTCAATTTAAAATAAATGTTTACACAGACAGGAATGAGGAGTTATGGTCATCAAAGTCCATACGTAGGGCGTTGAGATTTATTTTTCTGTGTTTTGTATTTTTACAGAATATTGAGTGACATTCTGATGTGGAAGTAGGAGCAAGTTCTTTCTGCCTGTTTTACCTCCGCCTCAGATGCTGTTTTCTGTTTCCAACAAATCCTCAAAAACACCCAGGAGTCACAGCGCAAAAACCATAATTAATTATTCTCTCTGTTCCACTGTCAGAGTATCAAAAATAAACAAAACCAGATCACAAAGCACACAAAGACAATGAGGGATGTTGTACAACGGCTCCGTCAAAAGAGACAAATGGCACCAGTAAGCGGGAGATGACAAGTGTTGTTTGTTAATTTGAAAAAATAAATGGTCTCACCTTTTAGTGAGGATTGTCAGGAATATTTCACAATTTCGTCATTTATCAACGCATTTAAGCATAATAATTTTTTCACATGCTGTACACCTCTTATCAGTGTCAGCTGTAAAAACTGCAGGCATAATTCAGTAATTTTATTTAGCTCCTAGATAAAATGGCACTGTGTAATTTTAAAGAAAATAAGCTAAAAAAATGAAGCAGAAACATGTTATGTTAGCTTCTGGCGCTTACGCTACACCCAATTCAAGTTAAGGTTTTCCCAAGAGTTGACTAGTTTAAAAAATGGTGTTGAGAATGTATAAGCTCAGAAGTTGGGGAAACAAATCTCCAAAATAATCAAGTAGAGCTGTTTTAGCTAGCAAGGACTGATTAGCTCTTTAACTGGTGCTCTCTGAGTAAATTAGCTTAAATGTAACTTACTAAAACATTTTCAGCATCTGATTATTGCTCAGCTGCTCACAATTAGAGGAACATGAGTACAACTACATGTTGGAACAGTTTAAAAAAGCTCTGAATGCAAGAACAGACAAAGCTAACATGCTAGAGGCTATCTTAGGTGTGTTCTTGCTGTGCGTTATTTCTAATTCCATGTAAAAAAGAACGACAACATGGAATGCTAGAGGCTAGCTCAAATCTTGGCCCTTTTCTGCTTGAGCTAACTCATGGTTCTAAGGCTTTTCCACTAGTAACAGGCACATGGCTGCTGCACTTTTTTGTGATTCCAAGCGTGACTGTCATGTTCTGTGTCCCTCTGGTCCAGCTCCCTCCTGTTCTCACTCCAGGTTCTCCTCCTGTGTCTCTTTGTTCCCCAGCTCTGCTCTAGGCTTCCCTCATGTTTCCTCCCAGTCACTCCCTGGTAGTTTATTTTGTATTAATCCTCCTCATCCCTCTAGTTATTAGCTGTTTATATTTGCCCTTAGTCTTTAGGTTTAGTTATTCAGTGTTTTATAGGTTATGTTTAACTTCCCTCCTGCTTAGTTCTTTCCCCCATTTAGTTTATTGATGCCACCTGTCTTCCCTCTAGATTTCACTCCTCACACCTGTCACCTGTTCCCCTGATTGCCTCCCTCTCTGTTTAAAAGCCCTGTCTTGTCCCTCAGTGTTTGTCGGTCCATTGTTGTTGTCGGCGTGTTTTGTTCCCCCGTCTAAAACCTGAGACTACTGCTCGTTTAATGACTCACTTGTTGGTATTTTCTGGATACCTGGCTTGACTTCCTGTCCGTCGTTTTTGGATAAACTCCCAAAATAAAGGATTCTACCTTTTTTCACTTACTCCTGCCTCATTTCATCTGGTGCTCTGCACATTGGGTCCTACTCCTGCTCTGAACCTGACAGTGACTGAGCCGGACCAAAGATGCAACAATAGAAGATTGTAGATTACTCATTGGTTAACACCGATGACACGTCCTCAGCGGTTGTGATGTGTTTGTGTTTTTGTATTGTGCACAGATCACATGGTTTCTTGAAGATCACATGGTTTCTTGACATTTTGTCAAAGCTCCTCGAAGAAGAAGCGGAAGTGTCGTCAAGAAACCAAAGACGAGAGGTTGCCTTCATTTGAACCCCTTTAGCATATTGTAAATTCTTGAAGGTCATTAGCAGCAGAACGTAGCAGTTAATAGCTAGCAATGATAAGTTTGTAAAACAGTGTTCACGTGAACTAATGAGGCCTGTTCGCTCATTTGGACATTTTTGCTACTAGAACTGCTTAAATGCAACAAACGGGACTTTGTTATTACCCAAAACTACTTAAATGGTTGAAACTGTAAAGAAACACCTAACTTCTTGTTTGACCCACGTTTCCCGCCACATCACAAAAGTTACTTCTACCTACTTAGCTAGCAGGCCTCCCAAGTTCAGATGTGAGCTTTATCAGACCTGCGGGGTTCTCTGAAGGAGAACTTGAGAAGACAGACGAAATGGAAGAGCCGTGGCTCAGACGGGCCCCGAGGCCCGCTGGGAAGCCACTGTTCCACTTCTCATTACGCAGGTCACCCGGGGTTATCAGGCCATACTTGGACTGGAGAGGCAGGCGCTCAGCTTCACTCAACACTTATAAACACAGACATATCTCTCCTTCCTGCTGGCTTCAGACTGGCACTCGCGCCATTTATAGAGTATGAAATGTAAACATGGTGGTAGATCCTGAGGCTTCTGTAGCCAAGCCTACACAGGACCAAAAAAAAAATCAGTTTAACATGTAGGCTACAGAAGCACAGGCCCAAACAAATGCCCTTGTGTTGCACACAAAAGGTTTGCCTAAGCACATCCGCCCACGTCCAAACACCGAGGTTCAGCTGTCTCTAAACACAAGCAACAAAATCACCTGACACACACACTTTTATAAAAACAAGAGCCGTTTCTGCTTCCTGCATGACGCATTGTGTGAGTTTTATCTGATGGTATCCTGAGTCACAGCCGAACGGCACTGCAGAAAGCCAAAGCAAACATACTCGTGGGGCATGTGCTGAGAGGTAAAACGCCACTGGGTAACTTGGAAATCAAAGACGGTGAGGAAGAGGGAAAAATCACTGAAGTGAGGAGAAACACTTGTTACTGGGGTTAAATATGTGCCGAACACCTGAAAGGCATCGGAGGTATCAATCTGAGTGGCAGAA